CTACTAAACATTTAGCTCTTGGTGACCTCGACGAAGCCCCTCGCAACATAATAAATATGTTCCGGCCATAAAAAAGTTGGCTCGAGTTCGTTAAGCCGGGCCCGATTCGACTTTTTTAATTGCGCTTTTGGACAATAATTTTTTATGGCCTTCTAAACGCCGCTCGACGTGCAGAAAATTAAAACAATTGTCTGGGTCACCATGGCAGCCTCTTCAGCTTGCACAGCCCTTCAGGCATCGTCAATAAGTTGGGAAAATAAAATACGGGCGCGTACCACAAAATTGTAAACAACATATAATTTGATTGTTCGTTCCAGAAGGTTGGGAAAGCATTTTATAATTAAAATTTGTACTGCAATTGCTTTAATTAAAGCCGCAAGGTGAGTGCCAAACTTTACGACCAATACAAATTGAAGCCGGTTGGTGTGAGCTGAATTCGGTACTCGTACTCGTATAATTCGAAATAAGTTTCGCACGGACAAAGTTTCCTTTCAAATTTATGGCGCTTTCTTCGGGGGCAGACTCTAATTAGCAGTGGAAGTCTAAGTCTTGTTTTGGCATCTAAATGATAACCTTAACTTTAGTTTCAAGGAATGTCAACAAAATCCAAAAGCATATTGCTAAAGAAAGGATGGAGATGATTGTATCTTTTACTTTATTATATGATATAAAATAAACCTATGTAGGCTATTGCAAAAATATATAAAGTAGTGCAACCAACAGTTTTATAAACCATTTATTAATAACTGAATAACTACACATCTGAGAGACACACAACTTTCCCTTTAAAATTTAAAAAAAGATATTTTCAACAATTTACTTATAAAAACTACACAAGTTCAGCCATGCTCTTCAGAACTTCGACTTTTTAGGGTATGTTACCCAGGCCTTTGTATGCTCCCGGCAACTTTTACCCCCGACATGACGAACGAATTTGCTGTGAAGACAAACTTGTTGTTTGCTCCTCAAGTTGGTGGGTTATCTCCAGTCGAACATCATCATCAGCACATCAGCTACGTAGCAGCATCATCAGCATCCCGGCATCAGCCCCATCATCATAATTTTCTGGCTACGCTTATCGAACTCAAAAAAAGTTAAGAATAATGTACACTTCAACATTTGTGCCATAGTTTGAAAAGAAAAAAATCTGCAAGAGATTGCGGAAGGCAATGGATGATGGCAGTGACAGTGAGGGGGATTGGGACTGGTATTCTTGGGGGAAAGGAGACAATGGCCGGGCCGAAAATAGCAAACATAACTCGGGAAAAGAATTTCCTCCTTGGTTAAAATTCCGGATTCTTTTGTTTGCTTTTCCAGTAAGTTGGACAACATGAGTTCCCTTTGTGTGTGAGTGCCAGAGTTCGGTAATGCAAATGAAATGAGCTTTTGCTGGGTAATCATTAAAACCCTCCGATTCGCAGGGACCCAAATTGCAGTGGCTAGTGGCTATTGGCCATTCGGACTGCGAAATGTGCAAATATTTATAGCTGCAAACTGCGCGGCAAATTCATCAGCCCTAATAGCCTGCCAGTTGTGGAAACAATGTGCGGTTGCCAGGCGCCGATAGTAAACCCATTTGGAATCCTCTCTGGTCCCAGAATATGGCTCCAGTTCCCGTACCTCCCACCTCACGTATCCGAGATCCCCAAGCTACCCAGGCCATCCCATCATCGATGCTGTTCAATGCAAATGTTGTTGATAATGATTTGCATTTACGCGCATTACAGCAAACCCATTTCAGGAATGGAAAAGTGGCGTGCGAACACTCGGAGAAAAATGTACCATCAAATGGGAAAATTTCTAGTTATATTTTTTTAAAAATGCTTTTGACAAGAGATTAAAAATTCATTGTAATCAGTTGCTTAAGAACTCGATATATACTTAGGTAAATATTTTTAGTAATAATATTAGTTGAACTAAAAAATTTGAAACATTTTAAAATGAGTTTTCTATTTTCTAGAAATATAGATAAAATTTAATATTATAATATGATTATAAGCAATAATTTTTTCATTTGTTTATATATTTATATTTTGTATACTATATTAGAATTTATTAAATACAATTATAACTTCGAGTTCAAGAGTAAAAGTAAAAGTATATAAGTGTAGTTCTGTTTCAGTGCGCTAATGCAAAATGATTAGAATTCTTCGGACAGAAATTTCTTGCGCAAACGCAATTTATCTTCCTCAAATTGAACCGTTCCAGAGATACGTGTCCGATAGAAGCTTTGACGCATATCAGAGGCCGAAATTGAGAAAAAATGAGGCTTACCCTTAACTTATTGTGGGGAGTGAAGGAGCTACTGCCAACAAGAGAAGAAACATACTTTTATAATAATTTGTTGACTTCTCCAATTGCCTGGTTCAATACAATTATCTAAAGATCTCCAGTGATTTATTTACTTGGGACCTATTTACTTTTTGGACAGGATTTCGGTTGTATGCTTTCGATTTGACTTGTTTACTGTTTACAGAAATGTGAAACCGCAAACACAACTACCACGCTCGGATCAAATAGCCAACTTAAGACAACAAAAAATACTTGCGAAACCTAAGTGCTTTGGGAACAAGCAGAATCTCTAAAAAAAGATGTTACCAAAAAGAGAGGAACAAAAATCGCGCTGATGGAGCGAAGTGCAAGGTAAAGTAGAAGGCCAACTTTGGACATCAAAGGATCATAAAACGCACTCGCACTTCCCCTTTCGGAAGGCGGGACTAAAAGGGGTCCTGTCTCGGAGCAAACCCAATTATCTGGTCTTGGGTCACCACCAGAAGCAGCTAAAATTGTTACACGACAAAACGGTCAAGTCTGAACCAGATGTCATTGGGTGCACTCGTCCTGTTTCTGTTTCTCATGTAGTCCTTTGGTCATTATAGGAAAAACTCGAGAAAATTAAGAAGTTCAAGGAAAAAACAGAATGGTAAAACACGAAGAAAGCTGAAAATAGTATAACAAGAGGGGTCAAGCCAGACAGGAAGGGTTCTTTAAAAAAATCCAACTGAATAACCTAGACATGTGTGGAAATATAACATCTTGCTTAAAAGGCAAGGAGCTATTTTAAACATATTTTTTTTAATTTATTTCAGGGCTTTGAACTAAATAAACATCTCAACTTTTATAAAATTTAAGAATATTTAAAAGAGAAACCCGGAATATTACTTAAAATACCATTCCTACAAAGGTAAAACCAAGGAACATCATTTAAAACCTGTGCCAATTTTTGCATAGATTTTAATCAATATTCCTAACTGAGAGGTTATAAATACCCATCTGTTTTATTTTGGTCCCCATAAATCTATTTCGAATTTCAAGACTTTCGTTGGCAGAGTCTCATATTTTGTCCATTGCCTTTTTGACGGCCATCAAGTTGTGCTGCCTCGAATTGTGGGAAGAGTTCTGTAATTTGATTGCCATCCGCAGGCCGGCCCAAGTGAAAATTCAACTGGAATGTCTTCGGAAATCCAAGCTCGGACTGGCAATGTTTTATCGGATATTGAATATATTAAGCAAAGAGAAAGAAATGAATAAATGTTGGATGAAACTGTCACTTGAAAGTGTTCATTTTACTTTCACTTTGCCCTCCCCTTCTGCGTAGCTTATCTTAAAGTTTTATTTTTGGTTTTCTTGTTGTTCTTCTGTTCTTATTTTTGCCTGGCGAGCGTTGAGCAAGGACATTTCCAACTGGCTTCATCTTGTTTGACTTTTCCTGCCTTGACGCGGGCCCTGCTGAGTTGTTGGACTTAAGCCAGTGGGGGTTCTCGTTCTGGGCTCTGGGCTCTCGGTTCCGTACTCCCTTTTCCCGATTTTCCCGGCTGTCGTCGGGCGAGTCAGTCATCAGCATCAGCAACATAGTGAAAAATATTTACTGCCTTTCGTCGGGACCCAACTTTCCCCCGCCCCAGGTCTTTGTGTTTCTTGAAAATTGCTTCGCTTACGTCCATCCCACTCGCTTCGAGGAAAATGCTCCTACTTGACAGGACAACGACAAATTTTACGTGTTGTTTCTTATTTTTACCCCATACTTTTTGTTTGCTTTTCCTCCTTTGCGCCATGTTTTTTATACTGCCCGTTCTCTCGGGGAAAACGGAGATGTGATTTCCGCTGCAATAAAATAGACTGGCTACCTTAAAGGCTTTATGACCCTTGGAATTCGCCAGTTTATGGCTTGTGTTATTTTTATGCACTCTACTTGGCATTTTCCCCTTGGCCAGGCCATAAGTGTTGGCCCATCTTTGTTTGCCTTTCGTCACTTTGATGTCCCGAACAAGGTCGAAAAACAGTGGAGTCGGAGCAAAATTACCATAAAATATTAAATTACTTATGCATATCCCCATTGAGGAAATTCGTTTGCTGGTCGCCTCTTTTTATCGCCCACGTCAACTGAGGGTCAACGGTTAGGATCTTCGCGAAAAATGGGTTATGGCTTGACTTACTTAAGGTTATTGTGGCTTAATGTTGTCAAATACTTACATTTCTTCTGTAGGTGGATATCCAAAATATGAAAATATTTTCTTCATTCGGAATTTCCAACGGATCTAGCTTAAAATCGTATTTTTGGCAACAGAAAACAATTCCCCACTCCCCTCCTGAACAATGCCGAATTTTTATAGAATCTTTTAAAGCAAATACCCACAAATTTAACTCGCTTTGCATCAGCTAATAACTCATTCGAGGCATTTGCGCATTTAGCATCCAAAGCAGATTTATAGCACTGAAATATATTTAAATTAAACTTTTTTCCATTTTAATCAACGGCATTGCAGTGGCACGCCAGAGAATACTAATACGACCAATCAATTAGTTAAGCCAGATAATATTCATAAATGTTTTACCATTGCGATGAACCAAAAACCGAGCTCACACAGAAAGAACACAGATTTAAATAAAGTTTCACATGATTTATTGAATGCCTGTTATTTATGATGGATTTTTATGATTCAGTTTTATTATTTTCATTTAATAATATCTCTCTGACAATAATCTAATTATTGATTCGATTTCACAACTTGAAATGGTGGTCTGCTTAAATTGAATTGTACATTAGATTGAATTGGAATGCAGTATGGTATGGGTATGGGGGATACAGTGAGACACGCAGACATGAGAGTTATGGTAACGTTTTAACCTAATTACAGAGTCGTCAATCCTGCTTCGACGGGGCTTCTGCTTCAGCTCCTGCTGCTCCACTCCGCTATTTACAAGGCCGCCTTTAATTAATCTCTAACCTAAATTACGTAACTGCAGATGGCGCAAAAGCTTACAAATAATTGGAAGTCGGACGCCACGACCAGGCGTTCAATAGGCGAGTCACGTCTGGTGTGCCGGCGGTGTGTGTGTGTGCAGCGCTTCCTGCATCGCCCAGAGGACTCCAAGGACTCCCAGGAGACCCAGCGCCGAGTGGAACGTGCTCCTCCCGCCTGTCGTCGTCCTTGCCGCCGTTGACATGATGGCCGATGCGGAATATTCACCTGTTGGGCATCGCAATTCGTCGTGGTGGCGACAGTTGCGATTAATATGAATCATTCATTTTGCCACACATTCAGGTAGATACCATGGGACAGGATATGACGGGATGGCTTGGGAATGGTATGGGAAGGGACTCAGTCCCGAAGGCTGTTAACTTACCGCTTAGCACGTGCAGGTCCACGGATACGGAGACGCTGTTCGACGGCTGGCACGTATAATTGCCGGAATCCTCTTTCCGCACGAGCGGTATAATTAATGAGCCGATCTGCAATGAATGTTTATGTTCAGCGACATTCGACTAGCCAATTAACAGGCGGACCACTCGTAAACACCCAACTTACCGTGTTCTGATTATCGCCCACGGTTCCGAATATATTCCTATCTAGTTGCGTGTACCAGCCGGTTCGCTCGTCGCTTTCGCTAATCTTCTTCTGACCCCGGAACCAGATTATATACTTGGGCGGATCCAGGGTTCCACGGACGATGCAGTGCAGCGCCACCTTGCTGCCCGCCTTCACAAAGCGGCTCTGATCCCCAATCAGCTCAGTCTTGGGTTCTGAAAGGGGATTTAAAAAATATAGATTTTAGAACTACAATAAAATAAATTTGAAATTTATTTTAATATAATTGCCATTATAATCTACCTCATTTTATTTAAATCTCAAATCTTCAATATGATTTTATGATAACTCATAAACACTCACTGACTATCTGCAGGTGCACCTTGGCACTCAGTTTGGGCTCCGTTGCCATCTGGCACTCGTACCACCCAGCATCGCCTGGCTCTACGTATTTGATCTGCAGGGACCAGGTGTAATCGTGATCCTCCTGGAATATCGACTGGAATCGCTCGTCCGCTATAAAAGTTGTTTCGTCCACGCTGATGATGTGGTTATCGCGCATGCGTACCCACGAAACTGGCTTATCGGATAGTCGATGTATCTGAAAAATAGAATAATTATTAAAACTATTTTAAAAATTTTAAAAAATATTTTCGAAACTGATCAAAAAATTTTGAACACAAAAAAATACCATACCGATTTTATCGATTTCTAAATTCCCTTAACTATGACAACTTCAAAGCTCAATATATGATAAATAAGATAGATTAAGTTCGACTTACAATTAAAATTTTTTAATTTTAAACCCTTTGAAAAAATCCCTCACCAGAAAAAAATGTCCTACCTAAAATAACAACTATTAAAACACCAAAGCTCAAGGCAGCCAGCATTTACATAACAATTATTATGTTAATCTTCGCCAATGTGCCGCTAATGAGCTTTCACATTACACAGATTGCATTCGATGTTGACTAATCCATACATGAATAATTACCCCGGGCCGACAAACTAATCCGGCCACGTTTGCCTGTCGTTTCGGTGTTAAGTTGCAAAAAATAAAAACAGAAAAAATGTGATGGCTCAAACGAGTGAATGGACGTAAAATCTGAGATCCAAGTGAATGTCTGAGGCCCGGAAATGGAAATGAGGTCGGAACTGAAGGCGGAATCCGGGGATGAGGTTGCGCATCTTTGTGCTAAAATATTCTCACAGTTGGCGCTTTGCTTTGGCTCTACTGGTATTTCCATGGCCTGGCTTGCTCCTGTTTTAGCCCTGTTCCTGCTGCTATCGCTTGTGGTCCGGCCCAGATCAGCATAATTTCATTTGCATATCAACAATTCATTCTGTTTACGTTTATTTTTTATGACATAAACAAGCGCCCGGTCTGAGGCTTCTATTTGCCGTTTACAATTTATTTATTTATTTTTTGCTCGCCTCCTTTCAGGACGTGTTCTTTGGGCTTTGTTAAAGTCCATTCAGCAGATATCCTAGATATATTTCGGGGGAAAGAAACACCTACGAACGCATGTAAATTTGATGTCTGTTGTAGCCGTATGCAAAATACACTGTGCAATATGTATGCATGCAAATAAGTGTTTCGTTGCCCCCTCCACCCAGATGTATCTGTATCTGTGCTTGTATCCGTATCTGTGTCTGCGGATGTGTGAAAGCGTGTCTGTGTGTGCAATATGTAAATGCTAGTTTTATCTCCGGTCCGTTGAAATTAAAAAGGAATCCAGAAGCAGAAGGAGGGACACCGAGCCCGTCAGTCAGTCAGTATGCCGCTGGCCCGTCTTCTTTTGGCTCAAGTTTCGAGGAATTCGTAAGTGAGTCAGGGTCGTTTGCCTCGAGTGGTTAAGGTCCTAATGCTCGAATTTAAGTCCTTGGTGACGTGTGTGGCCTTAAGGTCTGGCTAATCCGTTAAAGTTTGCTACAGGAATTCACATTTTTGGATATGCCGGAAGTCTCTGGATAATCAAGTTTTTTGTATGCTGGAATTCAAAATAAGGGTCAAAGCTCTGCAGAAGGGTAAATAAGCTCTTGGAATGTAATTGGCAGCAGTCTTGTGGTTTGGATTTAAATATACTTTGTCTAAGCAGGCGTGAAATGTCCTACATATATGTATTCTTCGGTGGATTTATTTAATACTTTCCTTCCATAAATATTATAATTTGTTACTTCTTAGCTTTACATGTAAGATTCGTTTTCCTTGCCTGTCTTCAATGTAGCCTATGTATATCTTAAATTTTCAATACCACCTTTGATCTATACATAAGGGATTTGGTTCACCTTTTTTATAGCTCCCTTAATGGGATAACTCTTTAAGCTGCTTAACAGGCTGACAGCTATTTATAACACGTGACATTTAATTCAAATATAATATTCGCAATTAAACGTAATCTCGTATTAAAAGGGTTTTTTCCAGAGCGAACCTTTAAGGCTTACCCGACTTATGTCACACGCCATAGCGCGACCTACAGGCTCACCCACCTAGCGGATTTGGCTGCAAACAACAAACAAACAACTACACTGAAATTAAGGGTCTAGTATTCTACGAAAATTATAAAATCTGTATTATCTGTATTTTAAAAGATGAAAGTACATCATTTGTTGATATTTGTTACTATTTAGTAACAAACGGAAGAGCCATAAAAAAATAAAATAAATTTAGGAACATTCTTAACTAATCATAGGTATAAATGATTTGAACTGAAAAACTGTTTTTATAGCATTGTAAGTTGTCCATACAGTAATTTAAAACACTAATTAAAATTAATACGATCATTTTATTCTGAAACATTTTACCACAAAGATTTCTGCCTCACTTTTTTGGGTTTCTGTGCTAGCATACTCAAGTGGTTTGTGTCCTTGCTATACTCATAGCTTAACTTTTCCTAGCATACTTATGTGGGCTCACCATTTTTCAAGTGTACCTGCTTCTCACTCAACTTCGACTCACCTGGCACGGCATGTAGGCGTGGTTTCCCTTCTGGGCGGTGATGTTTAGCACGGGCATTGTCAGGTTGCGCCCCGAACCCCCCTCCCGGTGGGCGGTGAGGTAGGACTGCTGCTCATTAAACACTTGCCGGCGCTGCTCCTCCGGCGATATTGTCACCGCTTCGGCGGATGTTTTGGCGGCCTGGGCCTCCGCCTCCGCCTTGGCCACCTTAGCGGCCTCCGCTGCCAACCTAGCCGCCTCAGCCGCATCGGCAGCGGCCCGGTAAGCGGGCAGATCCGCTGCCGCAAAAACGGGAAACGGCGGCAGGAAGGTGGGGATGGAGAAGCCCTTGGTCAATGAATCAGGGACAACCGGATGCGTCGCGTTCGCCATCTTTTCAATGGAGTTGCGCACATCCGTTTCCGCTGATGCTGGATAAATTGTTGATATGAGCATCTCTGCTGCGGTCCCAGTGGCTGCTTCTGCTCCTCCTGCCGCTCCTGCTCCTGCTGCTTCTGTTTGCCGTTCTGCGGCCTGAGTAGTTAGCCCAATTTGTGCTGACTGGCTGGTTGCTATCGTTGCTCCTGCCACATCTGCTGATGACATGCCCCGGGCCACGGCTGTGGTGGTGCTCCATGAGCCGGGTGCCTCTGTTCCAGCAGCCGTTTCTGTGGCTGCCTTTTTTGCTGTCGTCAAGTTGCTGGCTGTCGTAATTAGATCGTTTTGTGTTGTCATTGGCCTATCTGGCAAAGTGGATCTTGTGGTGCCCGTCCAAAGCTGTCCCTGAGCAGCATTCATTCCCCGTGCCAAAGCGACTGGATCTGTACGACTCGCTATAGGCTCTGGAGTACTGCAGGTGACTGCTTCTGTGAAGGAGCCAAAATAAAGCAGAGTACGGTTGTTTACAGCATGTTTGGGCAAACAAAGTGCTAATTAGAGGGGTTTGTGGTTTAGGTTTGTCCATTGGTAGGAAAATAAAAATATTACTTTACATAAATCTGGAAAAATTACTACGAGCTGCAGGTGGAAATATATTACCAACTAATATTTTAAATAAAATAAATTGTTCTTTTAAATCTATATCTACCTAAAATAATAAAGGTAGAAAAATCTGATCCAAGAAATAGTAATTTTGTGCAAACACATATATTTTGATCACCTATTTTCTTGATTTAAATCGTTATCAAATTTTACTTGAAATTTAAATATAATTGTCAAGAAATGAATAGAATATTCATGGATTAATTTTAATTTTAAAAAGTAGAAGAAGTTTAAAAAGCTTAACCCAAAAACAAATACTTTTTACACAAATTTCCTTGATTTTATGGCTTTGCAAGCTTTAACCTCAAATTAAAATATAATCATCAAAAATATATAATTTCTCGCTCGACAAGCACAAAAGACCTAAATAAATAAATGTAATAACTGTTTGTGCCGCACATCAAAGCGTTGGGAAATTGAGAAAAATTATTGCAATCGGCTTATGCAAGGTGAATGAATTAAAATTCCGGCAAAACAAATGGGACTCGGAAAATGAGTTTGGGGCTGTCACACACACACTCGCACTTTCAGGGGCACATGTACACATACATATACATATTTCGTTTCAGTTAATTTTCAATTACGCTTTTATGCTAATTAAAATCATAAAAATTTGCCGCTTAATGTCACCGCCTGTGGTGGCTTTCATTTCATTTTGTTCTCTGTTTCCTTTTCACTTTTAATTTTTTTTCCACATTTTTTCCTGCTAAAAGTTGTTTGTTTTTGTAGCTTTGGCTGCCTTTTCCTTTCACCATTGCCGGTTTCTGTTTCCCTTTTAAACTTTTCCTTTTTATGTTTTCGACTTTTTGCCCTAGAGGAAAATTAAGCATGAAAAATAAATGGTAACTTTAGCCTCATAATCATTTTGGTTACACGTGCAACTAACGTCCTTGGCTGGGTTAAATCAAAGCGCCACACCTGGCTCAAGTTAATCAAATGAAATGCAGCCGAGCTAATAAAAGAGTATTTTTGTTATATATTTTTTTGAGTGGCCTGCCTTTATTTGTCAACTATCGCGAAAATATTTTCACAAACTACCAAACTAAAATCAATTTCTGCCCCGTGCAATTGATTTAAGTCGCCATCAATTGAGGCAAAACTTTATTAAAAGATTACAAAGCTAATAACTTCAGGCAATAAATTGGTAAAAAGAGAAAAAATTTCTTTTCGACAGGAAAAGGCAACACCATTGATTAGCTCAACACACCCACTCATAAAAAGTTATTTTGAGCAACTTTCTGCCCCAACACTCTGGCAAGGACATGATGCCCCAGGACACTCATCCTCTAAACTGAGGGGCGGGATGAAGAGAAATGAACTTGCCAGTCCAAGTCATTGAAAGGAAAAGTTTTAGGAAACCACAAAAACAGTGAACAAGAAACTGAACATGTCCATCTGGAAACAGTTTATTTCAATATTTCTGCTAGCCATAAGAGCAACTTTTTAATGTTTAGCCTAAATCTTTCAATTAGATATAAGTAAGTAAATTACATTAAAAAAAGTGGGCCTAATACCTAATCTATTTGAAATATCTACAAAATTGGAAATTTGCGTGAGCGGAAAAGCAACTCATTTGCGGTGAACTTTCCACGAAAGGTCGGGATTTGGTACTGTTTTCCCGGGCAAGATATCAGTGGGCTGATAAAGTAGAATTTGCATTTTTAAATTATTTCATTTCACGTGCTTGTCAGAGCCTTGATTTAGGTAGAGCAAGAAATTTCGTTACCTTTCGGCTGCCCAGCAAATTCTACGTGTCTGGTTGCACACAAAAAAAATAGGAAAGGAGAAAGCTAAAAAAGTGAAAGGAAAATTGAGCAAAAAAAAGAGAATCCACAGGGCAACCGCATAAATTTCCCCCACGAAATCATTTCGAACGAATGCGTGTGATTTGGCCTGTGTTGATAAGGTCCACCCCAGGCCCATTTCTTTGCCCACGAAAAAGGTTGCAAGCCGGCTTTTTTTGTTAAAATGCAAATTGAAAATTTCACTCCCAGAAAAATAGTAAATTTAAAATCCACTGCAGATGGGTATACTTTTTCTCTTCGTCTCTGTTTGATTTCGTTTTGTTTGGTGTGTCAAGATGGCAGATCCCTTCCCAAAGGGGATGGGAAAAAATAAAGCCCGAACGGGTTTGCTCAAGGCAGAGTTTGCATTTTCAATTAAAACCGATTTAGCCGGCAATCAAATCGGTTTTGATTTCCCTCAAAGGAATGTGCTTAGTCAAACAAAAAAGGGGAAATTTATTTTTGCGTTGCATTGGGTATTTGTAATTTCTTGTAGGGATGCTCTCGTAGGGCTGCCCACAAACTATTCCCCAAAGCCGATTAGTTTACTGGGTTTTTGCCGTGTCCCCGCTTTGTTTGGCTTACGAGGGGAAAAAAAGGGCCTACTCCACTTCCAACCAAAAGTGTGATCTAGCCATTTAGAGCACTTGACGACAGTCTATCCACACACACACATGAGGCAGATAGAGTGAAACGTGCAATAACACTCAAATTGTTTTCTTGTTTTCCGCAACCAGAATTGGCCGTTTCCATGGATTGTGGCCCAAATCCGTACCCCCAAAGCCCACCCCAAAGCATGTGGGTCCAGCGGGACCTGGAGTTCATATTTTAAGCCGGCTCGAGTTGGTACGCCGTCGGAATAGTAATGCCCACAAATTAGGCTGACGGCTGACGCAAAAATTACTGAAATTGGCATTCAGACTGGAATGGCCAGCGCACACGCTCACCATGCCACCAACACGTATGTAAATTCTGGAATTGGTTTAGGCCACTACAAAATGAACAACCACATTAGGCCAAGGCTCATCAGCATCACGCCAATGCCATCCAAAGTAGCGACCGACAGACAATGGGTTACAGGTAGAGGACAAGTTAACAGAAGAATAAATAATAACTTTCAGTACAAACAAATATTTTGACTCAAGCTTATAGGTTACCTAAAATCACAATTAAATAAGTCTTAAATTAAAAGCACAAAAGGTTAATATTTAACCTCACGTTAAATTATGGCTTCTGTACACAAAGTAAAGCAAAATCCTTGATGCTACTGTATCTGACAACTCTTAGCCAAAACCAATACCTATCCTTGGGCAGCTGTAAGCGAATGTTATGAAATAATTAAAAGAGTAGTGTTTATTTCGCAAATGCATGCTCTAGCCCCAGGCAGTATAATCATGCCTAAATGCGTAGGTTTCCCACAAAGGCTATACCAAAAACTATTCCATTTTAATGCCCTTATAAGTTGCTAAGCTCTCCCATTGTCCTCTTGCCTGCCATGTGCCATGTTTCACTTAAATGCTGCAGCCCTGGTTTCCCAATGACGCAGTCACCTGAAGGATGACAGAATGGGGGTATAGATAGAGGCAGGGATTTGGTCCAGTCTAGCCCATATGGTGTACTGGTCCTGGCACTTTGACCCCTTAGTTAATATTTCATGGAGTTTGCCTTTTATGGTGCAGGATAAGGGAGGTGGCGATAAAGTGGAGAGATAAAGGGAGGAACTGAAAAAATGATTGGATTTAGTTTGTAGCATGATTTTTTCTCTTCACTATCGATTAACTGACGAAGGGAAAAACGGAAATTTAATTAGTCTCAAAATATTTCTTGCGCAAAAAATGCTTGAAAAATGTTTGCAGCCCTTCACGGTTCAGCGAATACCTAATTGCAGTATTTTTTTATCAACCAACGTTGGTAAATATTAGTTTGGCAAATATTTGGTTTAAAATAGAAACAAAAAAAATATTGTTTAAAAAAAAGCGAGCTGTTGATGAGTTCGTGCTTTAGGGCACTATTTATAATTAGTTTTTTTCCCAAATGTGTACAATTAAATTAATTGCAATATTTAGATAAGATCTACCTATGACTTTGTGTGTTCTTTTTTAATAAACCGACGTGAGACTAAAAGCCTCTTGGGCTTCAATTTATAATTCGAGGCACTTCCAACTTCATCGTGCTGCCAAAGGTCAAGAGGTCTTAATCCGCGCAATCTTTGTGGCACGTGCATCATTAGCGTGGCATCAGGACACTCAGGATGCTCAGGAAAGTCGCATCGGGTCTACGGGGTTCATTTTTCATGTAATTATAAAAAATATGCGTGGGCCAACGAGCCAAAAAAAAAACCACACAGTAATTACATGTCCAATAAAAAGTCATGGCTGTTTGGAAGGACAAAATGACGGCGACGGCAACGGCAGAGCGGCCGTAATTAAAACGCCGAGCGGCTGTGGCCAAAAGAAGACGGAGAGCCACTTGACTCGTGGCCATCTGAGGCTCATCCGCACCTGAATCCCACCTCCGAATCCCGCCCGCATCCGCCAGCACTGGTGTTTATGAGGATAACCAGGACATCAGCAGTAGGGCAGCGGAGGAGCAGCCGACACACATTCTCGCATAAACCAAAAACTTTTCACCGGGGAGCACTTTGGATTATAGCCGCCTCGAGTGCACATAAAACACGAGCCTGAGGACTCAGATTGCTGCATCTATCTAAACTCATGAGTAACTTCGGGGGCGAAGTGGGGGGATAGTTGTGTCGCCAGATTTGTGTTGCTCCGGCTGCGGGCTGGCAAATCTTAATGAGTCCCCTTTGGGGCCGCCAAGCAATTAAAGTTCAAATGAGCCAAATTACAAGCTGAGAGTAACATCAAATGGCGGCCCTGGGGGATGTATTTATATAAAGAAACCGAGTGCCAGAGGTGGGTTGAAGAAATTAGGAAGGTCACCTCAAAAAGGGAGAAATTGAAACCAATCTAGAGAATAATTATATATTATTTAACTCTTCTCACATAAGAAAGTGCATATTTAATATTCCAAGTGAACAATAAGAGTATTATAACCTCGTTTAAAGGGTGAAATATTGCACAGAAGTTACTTTTTAAGAACTGCATTCCGCATTCACTTTGTCAGGGAGTCCTCCTAAAATGTGTACACAGGGTAATAAAAAGAATACGTTGCCTCAGCAAGGCCATTAACAACTTTACTCTAGCAACACGCAATGCCGCACCGACAACGTGCAACACACAGCGTACAACAGTGCGTATACGCAACACTGGGCAATGCTCCAATTTCAATTTACTGCGAAACTGAAACTGAAATGAACCTCAAAGGGGAGACAACGAGTGCCGCTGCTGCTGGTGCTGCCGCTTTCTTTGCTGTTTTACTTTTGGCCCCGTTTGTTGGGAAACACGTAGACCGAGGAACACGATGCCATAAAAATAAATTGAGCCAGGACACACAGTCACCCAGAGAAGTGGGTGTGCCGACAAAGAGATTCTGGGTATGGAGGGCCATATTGAACAGCCCCCCAGCTCCACAGTTGTATAATTTTCACAGTGACACCCAACATATGTTTCAGTTTTGAATGAATCCTCGGATAATGGCGGCCAAGAGCAATTTCACACTAAACACAAACATTTCCATTTCCCCAGCACCCACTCATCCACGGGAAAGCCACTCGAATAACAGAATGCCATTGGTATATCATCGCAGCCCACACTCATGCAAATGTATCTTTAATGCGTAGACAGCGTTTCTGTTTGCCAACTCACATAGATACACCCATACATCCTGCGTAAGATTTCCTGGCTACCGTTGTGTGCGAGAGCTATTTATTTATTTATTTACTTTGTGAGCATTCGCATTCGGTAATTGTTTATTGATCGATTTGATAAATGCCACTTTAAATACAATTTTCGACCCCTCGCTTGGTTTTTACTCAAATATTTATGGGAACGCCAAGCACTTGTGATCAAATGTCATCGCAATGTGCATAAACATAAATAATTTATGATACAAAAGGTTCAAATTGATGAAGATGAATCAGTGTGGGTGGGGATGTGAAGTGAGCTGTGGTCGATGGCAAAAACCTTTGGGAAATTAAAACAAAAAACTCGGAAATTTGAGTTTAGACGAATTTGAAGTGGATGAGGGGTTGTTTTGGCTTTTGCTTGTTAAAAATAAACCCATCGTTGTGGTAAGGGTTAGCTTGAATGTTGCTGCTGTTCGGTTGACTAACAATGGGTTCTATAAATGTGTATGTATATTTTTGAATTATTAAATTAATGCAGCATTTAAAACTGGGCTTGTTGAATTATTAACGTTGCCTAGGTTATAGCTTCCTTATTTAGGAGCACTTTGAATTTAATAGCTATTTTAAGACATGGTTTCCTTGGTGACTACTGTTTGTGTTTTTAATACTATAAATCAAGAGAAATAATTATGTGAAATCTTAACAACACAAAAAATAGAAGATTCTTTTCTTATCTAGTTGGTTTTTATGGCTTTGTTGGAAAATATTTAGCCAGCCCAAGTTTAGGGAAGTTGTTGGGGGCGAATAGGCTGGGACGGCTATAAATAAGTAAACAAACGTTGTCCAGAAATACAATAATTTTTCAAAGGGCCTCCTGCCAGGATATGGTATCCCCCTGTCAGAAGGACCTCCTACAGCGATTCATAAATAACCACAGAGGCCCAGAGGCTTCCTTGCTTTTTATTCCTTCTTTTTTGGTGGTTTGTCTTGTTCTTTTCACACTTCGGCAAGAAATAAAGACAAGGCTCGTTGACTGCCGCTGCACTTTGTCATTTGTGGGTCATTTCTCGCCACGTCTTTGTCGCTATGTCAGTCCACCCCTCTTCGATCCCCTTTAACCCCGGCCCATTGCTATTCTCCGAGCAATTAAATGGCCCATATACACACACTTGTTGTTGTCTTTGATTGCCCAAAGCGTCGACGCAGCTGAAGCTGCAGCTGCCTGCCTCTGACCCCTGACCCCCTCTGAACCTCTGAATAATTTAAGCTCACATTTTGCGAGCCAAAAGCGCATCAAGGCCATTCAGCTTACATTGTGAACGTGATTGTGTGTATGTGAACAGGAAATTGTTAGTTGCATGGCGAATGAGAAACAGTGGGCCAAATTGCGAAACGAAGGTTACTCATCCGCAACGTTGGATTCCGTTAAAGGAAGTTTGGAGAGAACAAAGGGGTGGAAATAAATATCTATTGAACGTGCTGAACCAAACTGGTATTTATTAAATTTTTTATAAAATATTTGGAAGAAGTATATCTGCCTTTAAAAGGAGAAATAAAGATTTGTTGAAGAAAATATAATTTTAAATATTTTAAACTTACACATAGATTCTTTATTAAATTTGCCTAACCACCAAAGGAATGCTTAGGAATTTGCCAAATATTGTTTGTGAGGAATTTCCCAAAAACATAATTGAGGCCCCAATTATTCAGGACAATTAAAATTCCGTGTAAGACATTCCAACAGAATGGCACCATTCGCGCATGTTGAATTTCCCCGGCATCTAATAAACCCCTGTGGTGCAAATTATTCCACCGTTGGACATTTTGTTGACCTGCGGCACTGTCATGTGTCCCCCCCATCCAAACTTTGCTTGTGTTACAATATTTTCCGTCATCACAGGACCTGCCCGGGCTGAGGTCAACTGACAATGTGTGTGTGTTTGAGTCTGCCTAAGGGATCGTATCCTGATGTTGTTGTTTTGGTCTCTCCGCAAACCCATTTATAATTTATGAAGGTAAGCAAACACTTTTGGCCCTCACAGCGACGACCGCACACACGACACACAACACACGACAGGACAGGAGGGCACGACATCACGACCCCCCAGCAAGGCCTTAAAGGATTTCGGGCCATTTGGCCAGGTGTAATAAGACGGGGCGTCATTGGGAAGGAAAGGTCAGGCCGAGTCAACCTGTAGGCCTAGCAACTTTGCCGGCACATTCCCGAAATTAGCAGGAATCCGGCACTATGAAAGCAAACAAAAAACGATTGCTTAAGCCCCCAGAAATTTTCAAAAAATTTTGAATGGGGTTTTCGAGAGAACAAAAGCCGGCAGCAGCAGGACAAACTTCGGCCGCATTATATTTTTGACTTTTTTTTGGGAGTTTTGGGGTTGGCTTACATCTGCTTTGTTGGTCCATTCTGTATTTTGGCATAACGAGTTGCACTCAAACTTTCTGAAAGCGCATTTTGTTAAGAGTTGTAATGAAGGGTCTAGAAGGGCAAACAATGTGGGGGAAAGCGTATAGGGGATTTGGCCAGGGTTGGTTCCACGCTACCGAAAGTGCAATGTGTTTATTAAACATTTTTTGGCAAGTTTTCAATTTCGTTAATGCTTTTGTGGGGTTGCCCGGCCAAAAGGGGAGGAATGGTTCTCTTTCAAAGGAGGTACAATTCATTGTTTTATTTTTGCCTTGATAATCGGGCAGTCAAATGAATGAGCAGCTGCTTTACTACAGGGGCAACGGGGTTAAGGACCTGGAAAAACTATTTTTCATTCTCGCAATTTGTGGAAGCGGTGCTGATTCGATTTGAAACTTTTCACTTTAAGAAGTGCGGATAAAGGTTCCTAAAGTTGTATAAATTATTTAATATTTAAAAGTTTCATGGTATAAATATGTTTATACTTTTTCAAGACTGTATTTTTAACTTAACATGCATTGAAATTTTAGGCCGAAAATTTTGTGAAAGTGGCAAATTGGATTTCCTATGTAATATTCCTAATCATGAAACGTAGAACTTGTATTGTATTATATCTTCAAAGTAACTTTGAGGCTAAGCAGAGCTAATAACAACGAAAAAGCTTATTATTTACCTATCCTGGGGTTTTGTTACTGATATCTGTCCTCTATAAATCGAGGACTTTCCTTAACACCATACTTCTTCATTCTTAAAACTTTCATTGGCTGCTAATTGACATTCTGGAATCGTTCTGCTCAATATTAATGGACCATTTTTTTTCATCGGAAAAACTTTTCATCAAATATCGAAATTTCTTCTTCATCGGAACTGCTTTCACCAGTTTTTATGCTGATATCTACCATACTCCAATCTTTCTGCTTATCAAATGTTGAAATGCTCTCTTCATCTGAACTCCAGTCATCGCTTTCCGTAGTAAAATCCGAAAACTTTGAATCTTTCCCCACATGTCCCATGCCATTAGAATCCAGAGAGTTAATTCCAGAAGAATTTGCTATTTTCCCCTGTTGTGCTAAAATAGTTAATAACATTTCATCATCTTCATTAGAATACGATAAAAGCTCTATAGAATTTTGTGTTTTATTCTAGGACGTTTGCTCTTGTGGGCATTAAGTTAAATATTTTGATCTCTTACTCCTTTCTTAACTAATTCCCAGGCTTCTTTTATTTCTTCATCTGGGACTTCGTCTTTCACAAAAAAACGGTGTCCACGTTTTTGAACAAATCCCCGATAAACGGCAGTCTGCAAGATAGTCAGTACTTTGTCCTTTATGTCGGTACTCGGAACATCAAGGTTGGAGGCTATGTCTTTCAAAAGAGCCCGGAAAGTCATAGGTTCCTGCTTTTCCCTAAGAACAGCCAGAATATACCCGCCGATAGGATAAGACATTTTCGAAAAATGATTTACTATAAATTTAAATTTCACTCTGTTTAAGAGAATGTGTTCGGCTAATAAATGATGTCATTTAAAACTGATACAAAAAGCGAGGCCTATTTCCAAAAATATATAAAACATTAAAAATAGAAAAAGAAAATAACAGTTTCTAAATGAAAGTCAATTGGCGATATAATCCGCCCAATCCTAAATTTTGTTTTGCATTTATATCTTAATTATTGAAGTGTTTAATATAATTAAGTTAATTATTTTGTTTAATTGCAATGATATATGTTTTCATTTTACATCCAACTGACTAGCATAAATTAGATAAGAAACAAACAAAATTGGCTTTAAACCCTTAGTAATGGTAAGGGTAAAATTAAATAAACTTGTCATTAGTTACAATGCGGTTGCCTTAATTGGGTAACAAAATCGTATTAAATTTTGTAAAGTAAAGAAAAGCTGAGAGGAAGAGATAAACTCTGAAACTCTCCCTTAAAAAGTCTTTATTGCGGAATGGCGCACCACTTTTTGTCTACTTTTATGGGCTATTGTTTTCCTATTTCGCTGACCCCGTGGCTAGTTCTAATCTAATTTCAGCAAATCAAATGAAACAATGGGAAGCTCAAGCCCCAACTCAACATCCGCAATTTCCAAGGACCCCAGATACGCAGAGGACAAGTGCCTTCTTCGCACTCCCCCTGGTGATCCAGAACTACTAAAATAATTTGCCAGCAGCCATGTCGCGTCTTGGGATCCGCTTACGAGAGCCATTATCCATGTGTGTGTTGCCAAGTGTTTATGCGCGGCTATTCTACCCGGTACTCGGATTATAAGGGGAATAACCGGAGAAAGTTGAAAGTTTTCTTGATTATTAGGATATCCTGGACCATACGGATGAAAATCCTTTAAACTAGACCTGCTCTTTTTTACTAAATACCAAAATACTAGGATTTTGAAATCCCTTTTAAATACATTTTTAGGTGTCTAAAAGTATACAACAATATACTACAAGCTCAGAAGTACATTTTATTCATTCAAAATATGAATTATCTTAATTCATTGCATACTTTTAGACACCTGAGGCATTTAAAATGATGTCAAAACCTAAGTATTTTTGCTAATAGAACTTCATTAAAAATACGGAATAAAAGTTCTAACAGTACGAGGTATCCCAACCGTTTATAGAATTCCCTCGTCTTTCGAGTGTGTGTTCGAGTGTGCGACGTGAATGCGTTAAATTAAATCAAAAATGTATGAAAGTCACACGCACACACACACAAGGAGTGGGGGAAACCCCCGGGCTGTACTTACGTATCCCAAGGCCAAGAGCCAGGACCAGGACCAGGAGATTGGAGACGGAACTGGTGCGAATACGCAGCCAAGAAGCTAGTCGGGATGTATGGAAAAATCGGCGACACCACGACGCTGCCCCTCCTCCCGTTCGTCCTGCTCGTCCTGCCACTGTCATCTCGGTTGTCAACGTTGCTGTCCGGGTCCTGGTTGTGCTGGTGCTGGTGTGGGTCCTTCTGCTCCTTCTGGTGCTCTTCCGACTCTAGTCCTGCGTGGCAGTCCCTGTGGCCCAGTTCCTGGCTGCAATGACACTTACAGCGCCTTTTGTGCGCTCATTGTCCGCCTGCCTCCAATTGGGACTCGTTTGCGGCATCGAATCTGGCTCCTCTGACTCCTCTGGTTCGTTTTACTCCTTAGGACCAGAGACAGGATCTGCTGATTGCACTGCGCCGTCTTGGCTGGCAAACTTTGTCGCATTCTCTACTCGACTTCCAAATCCCAGTCGAAGTCTCAGATAAATAGGTTTATTGAATTAATACACTTTGGGCTGGGTCCTGGCTCGCCTCCATTTGGTTTCTATCTAACCTCTATCCTATTTCATTTTATTTTTTTTTATTTGATTTTATTTTGGGTTTTTGAACAACACCAAAAATGCAACTATTCTTTATGGGCCACAAGTTTTTCGATGCGTTCTCTCCAGTGAGTTTCTTGCAGTCTCATTGTTTGCTCACTGCGTCTGTCCTCTCGTTTTGCACTATTTTTGTGTTGCTTGATTTATATATTTATTTAAGTGTTTTCGCCTTTGTTGAGTGGTAAACTTTTATTGCCGCTGCAGTGCCACCAACATAGACAAATAAACTGCCATCAGAAGTCGACTTTATTGTATGGTAATCCAATTGTTATTTAGCTTTTTGGTCTTTTGCTAAAAGTTATTTAGTCGAACATCACAAATCCGTTTAAGCCCTAATAAATAAATTTTCCAAACAAAGTTTGTTTGTCATAGTTTTTTTAAAGTGCTTATAAAAGTGGTTTTGTAATAACCCAATAATTGACTAGTAAAAGCATAAAAGTAAAAATAACTACAAAAATAAAGACCAAACTACTCCGCAATGAATTGTATTAAAATTAAATTTATCTTCAACTTTGTAAGTTGTACACTTTTTAAGTCAACTTTTCAACTACATAGTTTAAAAACTTTTCATGAACAATTCATCATCTTAAGTTTTATTTCAACAGCTCAATCAATGAAAAAGTCAAGTGCTTGAACTTGGCAAGAAATATAAATCAACTTATTTCCACTTAAACTTTCATAATCATTTAGCAATTAATAACACAGAATTTTCTTTTCCGTCGCTGCTCAAAAGTTAATAACTTGCACGGTTGCCCTGCAGAACTATCACACAGTGTTCTCGATGACTAATGGGCAAAACTTTTGGGACAAAAAACCTTAAGAACTTTGACCATTTATAGTGTTTAACAAGTTTCACATTGCCTTTCGATGGGCTTTCTTTCAGTTCAAAGTTCTTGGTAATAAGTTACAATAGCCATATGGTCGAGCTCTAAACCGATTGTGGTTCATTTTCTGTGTAACTTGGCCGGCTTATATTTAATGATTTAACACGTGAGAAAACATTTACACTTCAGTAACAATTTATCGCATAATCCGACTTGAGAATATTTATCTTTCGCCTCCTTACGTTTTTTTCTCGGAGCCTGAAATGATGCACAATAATCCCTTTTTTACGTTACGCATCCTTGGCGAAATCCCCAGTTTCTTTTGCCCTGTTTTCGCTCCTTGGGTCTTCGGTTCAGCGCGGCATTCTAATATCCATTTGAATACGGGCGAGGGCAAACAAATTTTAAAAGTGATTTCGGCAAAAGACACTCGACTGGCGGCACTGCAGGACACAGACACAGGACACCCAAGGGGACATCAAGTGGTTTAACTTTGTCTTAATTTTTCCTTTCTTTGTTTTCCCACTTCTGCTTATTTTTCTTCGTTTTGGTTTTCACATTTTGTTTTTCTGTCTTCCGTTTGGGCACAAGTCCTTTTCAGAAAACGCGTAAAATTAACTTCTGATTGCGACTTCGACTTCCTTTTTCCATCCGAGTCACGTCCACGCACACCGGATTCAAATTTTCGACTGAAACGCGTTCATAAACGCCATCCACTGAGTTCTTAATATTCCGATTCAAAGCCATTCCGCCGAACGTTCCACTTCGGGTTCTCCTCTGTTTCATATCATATCGGCGGGGAGTATCTCGGTTCGTATTCCGGTTCGTTTCGACCAAGTTCCCCAGTTTGTGGCATTCTCATCCCTTTGGTTGCACTGGGTTCTTGGAATCGAACCTTCGGCTAATTTGCCGGCTGTTTGTCTGCGCCTGCGCTTTAAAGAACTTTGGCAACAGAGGATTGAAGATTTATTTTTCTTATTCCTCAGATACTATTTGCAGATGACCAACAAAACACTTGTTTCCGCAGGTCAGTTCCCTCCTTTTGTCGCCTATGAATATAAATTGGGCGGCTAAACAGGATCAACAGTTGACCATAATGCGAATATTTATTATGATTTCTTATGAAGAATTCAAATAACTATAGTCTCTAGAATAATGGATCTAGTAATTAAAGTTATAACTGTGAAGTAAAAATATATTTGGGATTAGTATTTAAATGTTTAAAGTTGTTTAGTTTTAGTAGATAGAATTTTAAGATACTAAGTTGAATAACAAATCATTCGAGTTTATTGAAAAAAAACTTTTTCCCACTTAAACTTTTAAGCATTCTATTTACTGACAACTTTCAGATCCTATACTTCTTTTACAGAACTAGCTTTACTTTTAGAGAGTTCCGAGCTGAGACACACTCATTGGTCCTGTTTATCTTCCTCTAAGGTTAAAGTCACAAGGCAACCAACATATAATTGGAATCGTGCAAATGGTGACCCCGTAAATCACAGTGGTGACCGAGTTGGCATTCGGTTACTAAATTAGCTCGATGTCTGTTGAAAAATCATCGCCTTTAGTGGCGGGAATTTACTGCCAAGAAGGGGACATATCTGCGGTCTCGGCCATTGTGTGACAATATGCCATTATGTAAGAGGGAGTGAGCCAATATGAACGCAACTTGATGAACGACGGCCTAGGACTAAGTATAATCTGGTGTTCTTTGTTGTCAAAGAGCAAGTAACAAATAAATATTATTGAACTTTTAAGTCCCCAGGGGGTGGCCAACAGGCAATTGACGCCCCAGTGCGATAATGCCCAGAGCCAAAAGCATTTGGCATGGGACTGGAGATAGGGTGCTGAATATCCTCACACAGGGCCAACATAAATTCTGGCACAGTTCAATTTATTGTGTATTGACACAGCTTACGGAGAAACAAATAAAAATGTTTTCGAAAGTGCGGGTGCTGCCCTACTCTCAAAGGATCCAGCTCCAGGAATGCGAACGAGTTCTGGTTACTTTGCCCCTCCCGCCCAACCATGAGTCCTCGAAGTCAGGGACCTCGTTGGCATCCATTGTTATTACCTCTTTGTTGTGTTTACACGCCATTTGTGGTATTTCACCCCCTGCCACTCCATGTGGCACACCTCGTCTCGCCCGCGGCAAAAGATCCTGCGGGAAGGTGTCGGGCGGCATCGCCATGCGGATGCGGGCCAAAGAGGTTAGGGGCGGGCTGTCGTAAAAGTATATTTGAAATGCAAATGCCGGCGGGCCTTAAAATGCTCAACTTCTGGCTCACAAATAATCAAAATATACTTTATGTCGCCTTTGAGCCAGTGAAAACAGTTGGGCCAGTTATCGCAGCCAAAAGCCAGACAACAAAAACCAAAAGCTGCTAAAAGCCCATGAATCGAGTTGTGAAATAAAACAAAGGATCAAAATGTTATTATGCAGTGAAGCGACTGCATCATACTCTGAAAATAAAGTGATTTTAAATGGCAGATATTGTGGCACATGTTTCATTCCTTTAATAAATTTTAAATGGTAATCCTCGATTTTAAAAATGTTATCTGTAGAAAAAATACCTTTAAAACCTTTAACTCAGAAAATTTTTAAGTGGTAGTTCCCGAAATAAAAGTATATTTTCTCTAAACAAAATTATTAAAACTGTGTCTCTGAAATCATTAAAATTAAGCTCTCTGAAAGGTTATAATATTCAAAACTAAAAAAAAAATTAAGTGAATATTCATAATTTAATGAAGTATCTAAGGCAAATGTTATTCCATGGACCCCGAGCAAAAAAGTACCTTTTATCACAAGCAGCTGGCTCTGCATTAGCTAAACATTGCGCAGCTGTTAATTTCAACGTTTCTTACAAGAGTCGTAAATAAATTAAAATGTTTTGTTGGAGGCTATCGCTTCCGTGCGAAGAGCTAAATTGAAACAAACATTTATAAATTGGGTTCCTCATTTCGAGGAGAAACTCTCGACTTGTTCGCCTGTCAATATATTTCAATACTTATATTATGATTGCTTTTCTCAATTTCTTCAGATTTCTTCAGACTTCAATTTTCTGTACGTATGCATATAAAAATATTTTTCTCTTTGTCCATCGCTTTTCTCGTTTTGGAAGGGTGCCCGACTCAGCGCTCCGAATATGCGAATTTTCGTTGACATGCTAGACAAATTTCTGATAGATATACATACATATATGCATAGATATATGGGAAAATCTGGTTCGATTTTATCCTTCTTCCGCAACGGAAAATGCATGTACGATATTAAATATTTGTCAGGGAAACCTATGGGGGAGTGAAGGAGATGGTCTGGAAAATACCAATATTCATAATGTTGTGACAATTTAATAGCAATTTATGCACTTAGGCTGAACAAGGACTTGTTCGTGTGGCTTGTCTATGCTAAAAACAGAGACTGCAACGATAATGAAAATTATAATTTTATCTTTTAAACTGCTGTCACAGCTCCATGTTCGTTTGTTTTAATCTGAATCAAATTTTTTGTATAGAACCCAACGAGAACTGAAGGAAATGAAAAAATATATACTGTAAAATAGAGAATAAAAGTCCAGAAAAATATGCAATGTTTCAATTGTTTCAATCTGGATAAAATTTTTTATATTTAATTTAAAATAATTCAAATGTATGGAAGTGTAAAAATGTTTACTGTAAGAGAGAGAACCAAAGTCCAGAAAAATATATGCAGCTGTGGTTTGAGCGCAAAAGCTGTGTTTATTGTTAGAGCCAACCAGTAAAAGTTCGAGAATCAATGGGGTTTCGAGTGCAACCAACAGCTTACAATCCACCACACTCGATCACAGTGTCCGGACAATCAAACCAAACGCACTTAAAGCTTCACGCTTTTCATTTCAAATCCAATAGAGTAGGGAGACCCATGGAAAATGAAACGCAAGCTGCAAAGTAAATTGCACTTAATCGAATACTATGTAAATGAAAAGCAGTTGGAGACCAGTGACAGTAATAGTCGAGTATAGGATACCTGTACTCGATACTACTAAGTATATTTTACCGATAAAATTATGTATCCATGGAATTTTTTATTTTTTATTTTGACTAAATTTTACTAGGGTTCCTTATACAAAAGTCAATAACACCTTTTAACACCTTACTGTTTTGTAATCAATTGATTTTTTTCCACCCTAGTATCATTTGCGTAATGCTATGGTATTATGTAGTGGTTGATTGTGACCACTCTAACCCACTTTTAACACCAACAGCATCCGCTCCTCTAACAGTCTTTGTTGCATTTTTTTCTGTTCAACTGGTCACCCTTTTCCCTCTTGGTCGCCAACCTTTTGTGGTGAATGAGGATTAACGGTAAATATAATTACTGCACCCTTTAACCGGCGGTGGCAAAAAGGTGAAGGAGACGCAGGCAAAGCGACGTGACGTTAATGACATTGTCGGTTGGGGTGCGAACCCCCACTGAATGGGAACCCTTGGCTAATTTGTTCTATGTTCGACTTGTGTCTAATTAATGAAGATTGTCTCGCATAATCGTAACGGTTAAATTTATATTAATTGTTGTGGGTTTCGTCGGGCTCTTAAGTGGTAAACTTGCTTCT